AGAAAAGATCCATTCAGGTTGCTGAGCAGTCAACCTGAATTCTTTATAAACACAGAAACGTCAGGTAGAGTTTAACAACCATTAGTATCTTTGAAGCACTGTAATAAATGTCAAACCCAAATTATTATTATTATTATTAATCCATTATTCAATTAAAAATATTTGTGTTGTGCTCCAGTAAAAAGATCCTGGTTTAGCTTAATAAGCACATAGGAAATCTTTTAGAGTGCTTTCATAAAAAGGTGGACAACACCTTTGAGGCTATTGTGAGTTTTTGTTTAGAAACATTTAATATAAAACAAAATGTTAGCCATCAGTTGTGCTGTCTGAAAGGATTTTAGATATCAATGATTCTAAAAAGTGAATTGTGAGTCTTTCACCACTGTTGATAGTTTCCCTTTAAGAAATTCAGTTTCAGTGGGCTTACATGCTGCTAGCAAAAGCACCTTTAATTTTTAGTAAGTATATCATTGACTGCTTTCTTAGTCGGTCTCAGAATTCTGTCTGTTTTTTTAAGGAATAGTACAAAATTGTTTACTGATGAAGATTATATAACATGATTCTTTATGAAAATAACTACGGCCTATACAATTTATATTAAATAATTTAAAGACTTATGGCATCGTTAATTTATTAAATATTTTTTAAAATTTAGGACAAAGAATTTACTTTTCCCAGTTGCTTGCTCATTGATTTGTAAATGGATGGATGAATGAAATAAAAAAATCTAACAGGGAAGTTTCATGATCTTAACGTGGAAAGTATTTGCTACAATGTGTGTTACAACTGGAATCAGATATGACACAGAAAGGCTCATATTGTTACTAGAAGACTTATTGAACTTTCTTTTAGAGCTGCCAATTTTACAAAGTTTGTAAGTTGAATGTAAATTTTGTTCAATTATAGAAATATGAAGTGCAATTACTACGTCTGTGATTTTTTTCCCCTTTAATCTCAGGTTATTGGGTTGCCAGTTCATTTCTGCCAAACAATTTCATCAAAGGAAGAATAAAACCACATTTGGTTAAATTTCATAAAAATATCGACTCTGATAAAATCAGGAGACTGCAGTAATTTAAATCTATGTTGTCTTTAACTGTTGTGGATAGCATTAATTCCATTGAACATAATCTCTCAATAGTTTAGTTAAATAATTGGTTAAAAATATTGCTATTTTCTGTGGCTATTTTACATGTTTCTTAGCAACTTCTGCTTATAATGCATACGGGTAATATACCAACAGAGCTATTTGTGTTGGAACTTTAAAAGGGGGTGTTTCATTTTACGGAGTACAAATAACCTTGTAATTAAACTGAAACAAATAATTGCCAAGAAGCAATTATCATTCAATTAAAGAGTAATTACATGGTTATTTGTGCCTTGTAACGTAGAGCATTACTGAGATCAGTAATGCAATCAATATTTTAGTGGAAACCGGATGCTGCAGTGATGGACCTTTCAACCTATACTGATTAAATTGTCATCTAAATAACAGTTTACTAGCTAAATCACCACGTGTTTATTTGTCTTGATTAATATGTAAATATCTGCCTGATGATGATAAAGTTCTTAAAGATAAGAAGCTTCACAGAATCGTCTATCAAAATGTGTGATCTTTTCCAGTTTTTACAGATTTCTACATAGTCTTTCATCACTTTCTCCGAATTATCTGGGAAAGGAAATGTAGGTTTTTAGAAACATTAATGTATTTTTATATATGAATTTTTAGTCTGAAACTAACAATAATATTAATTCTATTTTATATTTTTTTATGAATTTACTAATTATAAATTATTTTCACTAACTTAATTCCAGTTAATTTATTCCAGGTGCTTAACTCCTGCAAAAAAATTAAAACCAATGATAGCTGTGTGGGATTTTTGTTCAGACACATTTGAACATATTTAGAAATAAATATCATATTACAATACTCATTTAAGAGTCAATAAAAATTTGAATAATAGTTCAAATATATATATTCATGTCACTAGAATGCACATTTTTTCAAAGACAAAGCCTGTTCCCTGTTCTCACAATATGCCAATAGAAAAACGATAATGAGTAATCTTTCCTTTCAAGCTTATATTTTAACCTTGGTATCATTGATACCTAGGTAGTAGATACCTAATACATATCTGTTTACTAGTTTACTAAGCAAGTGATGTGTGTGTGTGTGTGTGTGTGTGTGTGTGTGTGTGTGGTGTGACTGCAAAAATATGTAGCCATTAATCAGTTCTTTAAGTGTCTCGCATCTCTGAGACCATAATGAAGTGACATCTAATATATTCTTTTTTAACGTTATACTCATATTTGTGTAGGTCATGTTCTGAAGCTATGTAATTGCATTAGAGTACAGGTTCTAAAATAAAATGATGATCTGATGAATAAGGGATGGAATTAGCTCTCTGTTCATGTTATTAAGTAGAACAAACAATCTAATGAATATTTGGAAACCATAGAAACCATGAAATAGGTTTTTACCACTTGTCTACTAATGGGTTTAATTAAGTATTTACTGGGCATCCTGTATGCTACAAACCATAAGAATTGCTTAAGATTCAGTGATATATACTACTAGACATTCACGCCTTCATGGAGCTCAGGCTCCTATTTGGAAGACTCACGATTAATTATCTTAATATAAATTAGAAATTATAAGTATACAATGATAGAGAATATAATCCCATGGAGTTTATATCCATGTGTTTTAGATGTGACATAAATCATGGATTCTCCAGTACCAATACAAATTTTAGATATTAAAGTGGAACAACTAAACAAGAGGCTTCTAGTATCTCTCAACTTATTTGAAAGGAATTATTTTTTAAAAGGAAGATTCACACACACACACACACACACACACAAAACTAGTTAAACTAGATGGCTTTCAAAGTCTTATGTTATGGTTGGGTGTTATATGGTTCCTTATATGGAATTTGATGGGGTACCAGGCTTCATCCTTCTTCAGCTGACAGTGTGAGAAAAGATTATGAGACTGGAGAGGCGCTAAAACACATGGGGAAGTACAGAGTGAGCTGCTGGATTTAAATAGGAGACTTAAGCTCTGCCTAATACAAGACAAAGCATTTAGAATTTTTAGATTTGGTGACTATTATTTAAAAGCAATTTATCTTCATTATATTATATATATTTTGATAAATGTTTTCTCTGATCCTGGGCCCCTAAAGGATATTTGAAGTAAAATTTATGTTTCCCTTTCAGCACCTTTTGAAGACATAAAACAGGGAAGGGTGAAGAGGGCATCAACACTGAGTTAAATAAATAAATTGTGACCCAGAATCGAATAGAAAATAAAGTAGAGAAAGTTTATAAAATTGAAACATTAAATGAGAAAAACAATTTTTCTTGCTAGAATGATATAAAATATTGGCTTGTAATGGCAGGAAATAATGCTAGTACAATTTATTAAAAAATGTGCTTGTAATAGTACCTCTGAGTAAAGTTGCTAGTGGTTGTCCTTATCGAAAAGCAGTGTTTATATTATATTGCTGGAGCACTTTACTATGACAAAATTGATATAATGTAGTTTGACTTATATCTCTTTGTGAATCAGAAGTCATTTTGGGAATGTTTTCTGTCTGAACCTCATACTTTTCTATGCTCACCCTATTTAACATACAATATTGTAGTCTTTAGTCAAAAGTCCTTTATTCTCCTATATGAAATGCATTTATTTTAAAAGGCAGTAACAATGTCTTAGACACAATTAAAAGTAATATGTAAAATAATAGACTTTAAATATGATTCAGTGAATAAAGACACTTGTTGCCAAACCTAAGGACCTGAGTTCAATCTCCAGGATCCACATGGTAAAAGGCGAGAAGTGACTCCTGCAAGTTGTCCTTTGACCTCCTTATTCACACTGTGACATGTAACATTACAACAGAAATTAATAAATTTAATAGAATAAGATATATAGTAACTGGAGAATGACTTTATTCAAATATTCTATGGTTGATAGGTCTGCGAATTGTGGCACCCTCCAAATGATGATTTGTTATACTGTATCAGGGAATGAGATGGTAAAACAGATATATGAATTTTAATTTTATTTCAGCAATTGTAATTTATTTTTCTCCCCCCATGCCTTTGTACTCTCGACTGAACTTCGGACTGTGTGCATGTAAAGCAGGCTTGCTATCACTCAGCTACATCCACAGCTTCTGAAATAATCTGAACTTTTTGCACTAGAGTTAAGAATGTGTAAATGCAATTGTTTAGGTTAATGCTTAAGTTTTGGTTCATTAGAATATATGGGCAGCAAAAATGAGACTTTATGGGATCAAAACAAAGAGCACACGAAGTTGAGTGGATATGGAAGGGAAAGAGGTGGGGAGGACCAAATATGATGCTTTGCACAAAATTTTCAATTGACCAATAAAACTGTGTGAATAAATATTTGATTTGAGAAAAAGGCAACATACATAGCAATTTTTCTTAGTTCTAGTAAATCCAAAGAAAGCAGAAATAAAATGATATACTTGGAATGAGTTTTCTTTGTTCCTCATGGATTTCCAGCAGTTGCAGAAATGTTAATAAACGTTATGCTTTATTCTCCATCTCACAACCTCACAACTCTTCAGCCCTCTCCTCTGGTTTCTTGATTAGAGATTTATACTGTACAATTTTGTACAGTCTGAATTCTGAGACTCACTGTCTCAGGCCTTAGTTGTGTACATTGATACCAGGGATTATATAGCTTTAAGGGCTAGGAATAATTTAGGAAATCTTTACAACAGCTGGTTTGTATTGCAAAGTACTGGCTTACAAATGAAAGCTAAACTGACAATTACTCCTTGGTGGCTTTAATATTAACCATAAGTACACTCTAAAATTTATTGTAAAATGTTGATTTTTCTTATTAATCTTCTACAGCACATAATCTCTAGTGTAAGATTCTGTTTATTCTTGACAAATAAGATCTAGAAAGCAAATGTATCAAGTAATCGTATTTGTGTTTTATCTTTGTTTTCCAACAGTTCCAGACCTGGCAGACCCCCTAAGCGTTCTCTGGGAGTGTTGCAAGACAATTCCCGCCTTCTGCCCCATGCAGTCCCAGGCATTTTATCTCCAGGACTTATCACTCCAACAGGTAATTTGATCCAACTCATGATCAATCTTGTCTCTTCTTGCAGCCCAAAGTTTGAAAGAGACTATTATTGATGTAACTTCCCTGTCCTTTAAAGCTTTTTCACGCTCTACTAGAGGTGGAATTATTGAATATTTTGAGTATTCAGGCAAACATGATTAAAAAAAAATACAATGACACAAAGTAAATGGATATGATTTTCTAAATGTCATTTCCTTATAAGAAATCTCTTTCTATGTGTATATTGTGTGCTGGGAGAAAAGATGTGGGATGAAAGATGTACATCGTCTGAAAACTTCCTGTGAGATGCTTACCTTAAATATCCCACCAATATTTATTTTGTCTGTTGTGAGTGTCTATTTATATTATTAAAGTTACTATACCAGCTAAAGAATGTGGAAAGATAATGCATTCTCTGAAGAACAACAGTATATTAGTAGTAATGCTGTATTTTGATCATTTCCCTGAATAATATTTTGCAACACTGTAGTAATCTAATAAAACTAATTTTATGAGTAATTATAGAATTCTTTTGATATTCTAAAAGTGCCCATGAGCATCCGAAACACTTGAAAAATTAGCCTAATCATTCTCTAATAGAATAAAAATGTTTAAAATTATTATACCAGGAAAACATTTAATAAAGACATTATCTCTCTGTCTCTGTCTCTGTCTGTCTGGCTGTCTATCTGTCTCTTATCTATCATCTATCAATTATACAAATATATAAATCACTTACTTTGGCTTTTAATACCTTAGGAAAGGGATAAATTTATGAGTAGTTGTCTTGGTCACTTTAGAATTAAAGAAAAAAAGATATAATAGCATAATATACATATCAGAGCATGATAGATACTACAACTAGATATAAGGTGGAAAAAATTCACAATGACAGAAGCAAATAAACCCCTCTCATAAATTGGGGGAATGATCGGAAAGATTGATTCTTTGATCTGTATTTTGGAGGGTTAGTGTTAGATGTGGAGAATCAGGGGATAGCACTCCAGGCACAAAGAAGCACAGAAGAAAGGAGACTGATTATTTTCACGGGGGGAATAGAAACAAAACGAAGGGGAATAAAACAAAGAATTGAGGTGGGAGGCTTGTAACTGCTGTGCTTTGAATAGAAAATGAAGAAAATAAATGACAGTTGGTGAAACTGGCATTTGATTTACCATGTTAAGCAATTTTCTCTTTTCTTATAGACCAGACATTTCTAAATATTCTGAACTCTTTACCTTTTTTTTTATTTTATTCCTTTTCTTTTTGGTGGCTCACATGAAAGTGTGCAAAGAGTTCAGGCTTTACACTTAGGTCTCAGAGGCTCATGTGTTTAAATATATACCATTTTATTTTTCATTAAAACATTTTATGTATTAGAGGAATCATTACTAAAAGAAACAAGTAAATATTTTAAAATCAATTTCTGTGTAAGGTAGATAAAAAAGAAACTAATAGCAGAAAGTATGAACAGTTATCTCCTTTTTAGAAAGATATACTGAGCATCTGAATGAAGGCACATTCAGTTCAATGGAAAAGATGTTCCAAAGTGATTTATTAATAAGAATTTGTTGGTTGATAATGATTGGATGTACATGTAAACCTAGTAGAATAAGATGATTAATATTGTTTGAGCAATACGTTGCGTGATGGTGTCATTGGTTAAGAAAGAATTTAGGAATGGATTCATGCTTTGGGAAATTAATAATAACTTTGATGACTTAAAATATTTACAAATATGTAATATATAAATTCTTATGTAATATATAATACAATTTGTATAATATATACAAGTTCATGTATTAATAAATGTTGTCTTATAAATATAGCCACATACAGATTAATAAAGTACTTTCTGAACTACAACTTGATGCTCAATAAATAATCTGTATCTAGACTAGTAAAATATATTAAGTATGCCTAAAAGCAATTCTATGTAAATAATCTAGTCTGAATTCAGATTTTTAGACAACATAGAAATGAAAGAACAAATGATTAAAAAACACCTTGAAGATAATTAACTGTTTAGTAAGCATTAGTAACTTACCTATTTGGGGTAAATATCTAATGCATATTAAGTTCCTATGGCACTAAATGTTTCATATCCACTTTATTTTATCTTTATAGTATTCTTTTGGTCATTGCCTTCATTTTTCAAGTGAAATGTGCCTTAGTGAGTTTAAATTCAGGCCTTAAAGTGAATGGCAGAGATGTGTTTAATACCAAGCCATTTAAAATTCTAGAGCCCCAATTTTCTTTGACATGTAGTATTTCCTTTTGCGTAATATCAGAACCTCAGAGTTATAATGGAAAATTGTCTTTTCTTCCTAAAATTCTGTTTTCCTTGGCTTATGCCTAGAATGGGATGACAGAAGTATCAGCAGTTTGTATCAAGAAAGGCAAAATATAACTTCTGTATAGCAGACAAATAGGAAAATACTATTCAGGGGAAGATCAAGGAATCTTCAGACTTCCAAAGGGATCCTCTTTCTTATTTTGTATAAATTGCTTCATATGTCTAAGAATATTTTTTTCTTCTATAATCAAATGTTAGAAAAAATGTTTTCCAAGTTCATATGCTGATAATTTTGGGATTATATGTTATTTTTAATTATATAAACCATGTTTGCTTCTACTAGAAAAGGTAACTTTAGAGAATTAACTTTCAACTTCACTAAAAAAATTTCATGTCTGAACGTATCTACCTTGCTTGAATATTATAAATTTGATTTTAAAGTATTTTTGAAAAATTCAGATGATCTTTATTTTTCATTTGATTTTTAATTTTTTATTTTATTTTTAAGATTATGTTATATTTACATCATTTCCCCTTTCTTTTTCCTCCCTTCAAACTCTTCCATAAACTCCTTCTTGCTCGTTTTCAAATTCATGCCCTTGTTTAGCTCATGTGCTAGGCAGCCATGTTGGTAAGACTTTATAGGTATAGACTCTGACATTGCTAGAAAATAAAGTCTCACAGGAAACTCTCAGATACTCTAGTTCTTACAGTCTTTCTGTCCCCTCTACTCTAATGTTCCTTGTGCCTTAGGGTACAGTAATGTTTTGTAGTTGTTTCCATTGGGATTGTGCTCCACAAATCATCATCTTATTTGTTTGTGGTTTTCTTGATATTTTTAGTGTACCATTAAATTTTCCTTCCATTACTCCCGGATTTTTTGAAATGTACAATACTTTCTTGTTTCTGGTTCTTTTATATCTGAATATTTTTTATTTAGATACAACATTATATATCCATGTATAAATTTGCATAAAAATAAAGTGTTATTTTTTAACTACTGTTTCAGAGTTATATGTGGCTAGAGATAGTTTTAACTTCTGCTATATTTACTTCAGTAACAGATTTTTGTATTGCATTTATTTGTATTATTATTTTCCAAATTTATAACATGAAACTGCATTTGTAAAGTACATATAAGAATGATAATTATAATTATGTTTACTTTCAGATATTCTATGATCTAGTCATATTTCATTTAATTATATAAAGTAGCTACATAATAGAAATGTTTGTAAAAAAAGAAGTTTCTCAGATATCATTTTTGTTTTACTTAAAAATAGTTCTTTGACTTAGCTTGGCACATAAATCGTTAAAGATGTGTGTAATATTAGGCAAGTTATACTTCTTTATTTACATAATATGACATAATATTATCTATTATATGTGAATCTTTTGTGATTTGTACTTTTCTTTTAAATTCAAAGATGTTTATTTCCTCTGGGTTGTATTTTTCATAATCAAGAAAGTTGAGTAATTTAAACTTTAACTTTGCTGTGGTGTCTATTACTAATAAAATGTCCTATTTAATTTACCAAATTGAATATATAAAACTATTTTTCTCATGTGAGAAAAAATGTATATAGATATATTCCAGTCCTTGGAGTTTAGCTCGGTACTCTGACATGCACCTACAATTTCCACATTTGAGGGGCTGAGGGAAAACTCTGCCATGAGTTTGAGGGAAATTTTAGGTACAAAGTGACTTACACTATGTAAAGAGAGTCTCTTTCACAATATACTTGAAATGAAGAGTACTATGTAGCTAAAACCATTTTAGCAAAATATTTATTAAAAATTATCAGCATATAATTACTGAAGATTGGTCTTTGTGCATGAGTATAGAATCTGAGTTCTATTCTTTTTTATATTATTTTATGGTTTGTTTTATTATTTCTTTTACCAGTAAATATTCTTTTTTTTATTTTTAAGTTATTCTTCTCTCATACAATACATCCCCAATACAGCTGCCTTTCCCTTTTCTCTTCCCAGTTACCTCCTCTACCTCTCTTCCTCCTTCAGATCCACTACTCCTCTGTTTCACATCAGAAAAGAGCAGGGATATCAACAGACAAGTCATAACAAATGCAATAAGACTATGAACTAACACTCATATCACTGCTGCATGAGGCATCACAGTAGGAGGAAAAGGTTCTCAAGAGCAGACAAAAGAGTAAAGAGACACACCAACTCCAATTGTTTGGATTCCCACAAAATCCCCAAGCTAAACAATCACAACATATTTGCAGAGAACCTAGTACAAACTCAAGCAGGCTCCTTTGTTTATGCTTCAGTCTCTGTGAAACCCTATGATCCTTGGTTAGTTGATTCTGTGGATCATGTTCTCCCGATATCCTTGACCCCTCTCATCACCCCTCTTCTGCAGGGTTCCCTGAGCTCCACCTAATGTTTGACAGTGGATGTCTACATTTGTTCCCATCAGCTGCTGGAGAAAGCCTCTCTAGTGATGATTGGACTAGACACTGATATAGGAGGGAATGTAGCACAATATCATTAGAAATTGTGTTTGGTTCTACCTTAGGTATCTGAGCCATCCTGCTTCAGATTCTTGGCCATCCAGGAAGGGTCAGCCATAGGATCCCTCTCCTGGAGTGGGCATCAAGTAAGACCAGTCACTGGTGGCCTAATTCCACAAGTTCTGAGCCACTGTTGCCCCAGAAAATATTATAGGAAGGGTGGATTATAG